ACTGTGATCCTATCCACAGTCCTGCCCGAGGATGGATTCCAATCCAGATCCACTCTCTAACACTGTGATCCTATCCACAGTACCTGCCCGCGGATGGACTCCAATCCAGATCCACTCTCTGACACTGTGATGCCCCTATCCACAGTACCTACCGGAAGATGGATTCCACTCCAGATCCACTCTCTGACACTGTGATCCTATCCACAGTACCTGCCCGAGGATGGATTCCACTCTAGATCCACTCTCTGACACTGTGATCCTATCCACAGTACCTGCCCGAGGCTGGATTCCGACTCCAGATCCACTCTCTGACACTGTTTGTTTGTTGGGGGTTAGGGGCGCGCCGACGGCGAGGTCATTTTGCGCCCAACTCTCTGACACTATGATGCTCCTATCCACAGTACCTGCCCGAGGAGGGAGTGCAGATCCACTCAGTGATGCTGCACGGCCACCTGGCTGCCAGGGCGATTCGCGTGCGACACGTCCGCAAAGGAAGGGAGCTGCCGCCGCTCATCGTCGGTGAGCTCCGCAACGGGCGCCGCGTCGGTGATCGCCAGGCAGATCAGATTTGTTCCAACACTCCACTTAACCCCTTCTGACGCTTGTTAGAGTTTCTTAGTTAGCCCACTAGCATTTTACTGTAGAAATGTGAAATGTGATTCCAATACCACAATATGTGAAACTGAAAAGTTTTCGTAGAAAGCAAACCCCATTTCAAAATCAGGATCGCCAGCTATGATCCACAGTCCACATCAAACGCAAGTCTCGCAGCTGCTGGTGCCGAGCTTCACTAGCTGCATGTATACCATCTTTTCAGACCGGTTCTACGACTTCAACTACCAGCAGAGTCGCCGCGTGGACCAGTCGGTGCGAGTCCTCCCCGGCGACACGCTGCTGGTCGAGTGCGACTACGAGACCGAGGACCGCGACAAAGTTACCATGGTCAGTGCGTGCTCAGTGCTCACGGAGCGTGCTCAGTGCTCACGGAGAACATTGCACTAGCGTTGAGCAAAGCTGAATGGTGCGATCGATTCTAGTAGATTCTAGTAGATTCTAGTAGAGTGGTGGCAATCTTTCGATTCACTAATGCTCGAGTCGTGAAGTTTCTTAGGACGACCGTTAGTATTTGGACCTGGTTGGCCGAAATCATCTGATAACTTGCAAATTGTTTTGTGGGCCCGTCTGTGGATACACGGGATACCGTCCAGTTCACTGAATCAGTTGTCGATGGCACTCGACCAGCTTCTGTCCCAACTCATCCCACCAGATGTCGGCCAATATCTGTCTCCGTAAACATAAGAATGGAGATACCGCGCTAATATCTGCCGCTCTAACCTCTGTTTCCTGTGGATGGGGAATGAAATGTCGCTCTAACATCAGTGATCTGTGTGTGCCAACAGGGCGGGTTCAGCACGAAGAACGAGATGTGCCTGGCGTTCATCACCTACTTCCCGCGCACCCCACTGGCCAACTGCGGCAGCAAGCCACACGTCGGCGACTTCCTGCAGGCGATGGAGGTGCCCCTTGTGAAGCTCGGCAACTACACTCTGCCGTGAGTCAGCACCCACCGAATGGACCCCGTGGGCCGTGACTGTGTGCGTGTGTGTCTGTGTGAAGTGTGCGCAATACACCCGCCACCTGCTGAAAGCAGTTGAGCTCCTAGATCTCATCGCTGCGTCTACAATGTCCACTGTGTGCAGAGCTCTCCACTAACCCGTCATTTCTTTTCCGCAGCCCCATCACCGGTGCCGAATATTGGACCGATGCAGGCTTCAAACTGCAGGCGCACATCATTGAAGCAGTTCTGGTAAGAACTATGGACATCAATGGTAAATGTGTGGGTTTCGTGTACTCATCCCATCGATTGCGTCGTCAGTCAGCTCTCAGTTTTCAGAACGCATCCTGTGGAATCTTCCTCATTGCCAAAAAGCAATTATCCAGCCAGACCACAATCATACAGTTTCGACCACCTTGCGTTTCAGAACGGCTCCATCACCGAAGGAGACCGGGAAAATAACAAAAGGCGTGGTGGTGGTCGTGACGACTGGTTCAACAAGGCCGAACTCAGCGCCCTCAGGGTGTACAAGGACCAAGGTGAGACGGCCCTCACGCTCTGTCTGAGGTGAGACAGGCGCCCCATGGATTGTTCAGGGATGTTGTCATATGATATCGGCCATCAGCACTCGTGTGGGAAAAGCTTCATTAGGAACCAAGTGGGAAAGGAAGACTTGTATTTATGCGCCTGGGTAGTAAAAATTACAGAACTACATTCAGTTTATCGATAGTTAAGGGATATCCTTTTCGTCAAGGCCGAACTAGCAGTGTTTATTGTTTATCCGACTGTGGCCAGCCTCCGACGATTCTACCGCAGACACTGCTACGGTCACGCTCTACGAGTACCTGACGCAGCTGGACTGGAGCCAAGAGTCCATCCAACATCTGCAGAGGTTGTCCAACGGCGGCCGCGTCTACCACCGGTGTGCAACCGACGCGCGACACGAGACCAAGGACTACAAGGATATCGTGAGTACTGAGTACCGGGCGATGGCATTTAGAGCACCGAGGGGCGGTGGCTGATAGGCAGTGACGCACCGGTGATCGATCATCGGTCCGGAAAATAGCATGTGCAATTGTGTGGAATGAAATGGACCTTTACTGCTCTCAGGGTTTGGAGAAGTTCCGGGTCCTTATTGCTTATAATTAGAAAAAAAGATTGACGCAAAGCGCATTTTTTAGCTATATTATTATCGCCGTCTATCCTGTGTATCTCCCCTTTGCTACATGAGCTCTACACTACATGAGCTACATGAGCTAACCAAACTGTTTTCCGCATCTGATTTCAGTTCTCCGGACCTCATGCATATCCCGAGTTCGAGCCGTGGACCGATAGCGGAAACACTGAGTGCCTCCAGTCTGGGTACTCGGGCGCCGTTCGCGGGAGTCTAGATGGTGCCATGGCCGTGCTCTTGGCGTCTGTTATTGGACTGTTGCTGCGGGCAGTCTGACCTCCGACCCGAGAGGTCTGACACACATGGATGATGGGGCAGACGGGAGAGTCCGACCAGCCCTGGCAAGCGATACAATCATTGACTGTGGCCTTCATTGCGTGGCCTTTATTCGCATTTTGATCTGACCTTGTCGATATACACATAGACGCTGTTATTGTAATTTCGTTATGTGGGTATTTGGAATAACTTAACGGAGGAGGCATCATCATATTTACTCGTAACACCCAGCATAGCATTGATGGTATATGTCTGAGGGGTGTTGTATGATACATTCCTGTCTTGATGCACATTGTACATTGACACTGTGCGGTGTATGGTGTACGGTGTGCAGACTGCAGTGATGCCCGACTATTTTACTAAGAGCTGCCTTGAAGGTCGCGCCATTTACAAATATATTTACTTATGCAATAATTGAAACACCCATGCAGTAATGCCGGGACCTAATCGAATCGATTCTCGCTCAGCCCTTTCTTTTGCATTCCGTCTGTTTACGATCTGTCCACTGTTTTCTGAGCGTAAGAAGAGAATGGGCTTGTCAACTGTGTTAGATATAAGCGATGAGCGATGTACTTAACTACTCAATACTTCTACGTTGTACGGTAGATCTATCTAGGTAGGCACGTTCATGTGCCTTCGCCATTTCTGAATAAAGTGTAACGAACATGGAGAAACATCTTACTTGCTGAACCATCTGCCTCAGAAAACACCCACCAATTTACAGTGCGATGCGTAGGTATTCGGCAACGCCCCCTCTCTCTTCTCTCCCTGTCTCACTCAAACCCTCTGTCCTAAGCCAATTAGCGTCGATGGCAAAATGCAGTTTAGGCGCTCTAAGACCCAAAGATCATTATCACCATTATCACTATCCTGATCCTGACAAGTCCTGATTCTGAGCTTAAGCGTATACCAGTAAAACGCCTTTTGGGCGACCAACGGAGCGAGCGAGAGGATGGGCCTTGCACGTGCGAAATTGCGAGGGGGTACCTCCAACTAACTTATGCACTGCACCCTACTAACCGGTCTTTAGCGATGTGCCAAATTTCAGCGCAATTGGCCTAGCCGTTCTCGAGATCTGGAAGCGACACACTGCACGTGCGCACGTGCAAGCGGGGTTCAAACTGACTTTTGCACGGCACCCTACTAACTGGTCCCCAACCGTGTACCAAATTTGAGCGCAATCGGCCCAGCCGTTCTCGAGATCTGGGAGCGCCCCCTGCACGTGCGCACGTGCTGTAGCACCCCAACCTTAACACATGCAGATGAATTATCTAATGGAGACCTAACTGTGTACCGAGTTTCAATTCAATCGGCCCAACCGTTGTGCCGTTATTGAGGTTGCAATTTTGGGGTTCTTAAAAATGTCCAACTTTACCACGCGCCACGTGCGGTGTTTGGCATGAACGCATGGTGGCCATCACACCACAGAACTTTTACGTCCAAGTGACATTCAGTAAAGAAGACCGCTTGTCAATCGGATGTCCCGTTCCTAAGATATTAGCTTTTGAAGAGCGTCCCCACGGCCGGCCGGCCGGCCGGCCGGCCGCTCATACTCAGGATTTTCCCTTAATTCAGTATGAGACTCCGCTCGCTTCGCTCGCTCCGTAATCAATCGTATACCTTTTGATATCCGGCGGGAAAGGAACATGATCAATATACGGCCCCGTATCGCGACAAGAGGCAAATGGCCTTAAGATGCTGGTTAAAAACCATTGTGGAGGTCCTTCGGTCATATTTTGGGCCGTCACAAAACAAGTGAATGCACGATGAAGTTCACGATTTTCCGTAATGAGCTCTTCACTTATGACCTGGCTGTCCGACATTTCGTAAACGCAGGCAATATTTTTTTTTTTTTTAAGAAGGGTGCAGAGTTGAAAAAAACTAATTCAGTATACCCTAGAAAAACAACAAGAAACGTGGAGTTTAACGCCACAGATTCTATTCTAAATGCACCGACTTGAAACCGGATACAGCGTAACCCTTCAAACGCTTTACAACAATTGTTGACTTTATTGTCTTTGCCAAGCTACAATACGATACTGCGATACAATTCATAGATAATATATAAAATATAGTAACTAAACCGCGTTGACTTGCAAATGCGCCTCTCTACACCTTTCACGCATGATTGTAACAAAAAGGTATAGACAGAATCAACTACGTTTCGTATCATTTAAGGGAAACTCATTTCTGGAAATAAATGCTTGGCGATAATGCCACGTGCTAAGTACCATTAAACATAACGTGACCGTTCCGAGATCGCACGTTTGATACCAGGCGACAAAGTGGTCCCAAACACCGGTGCATGAAAAAAGATGGCACAACGTATATAAAAACCACAACCACTAGCACTGCCCAAGGCTGGTCCCATCCCGTCAACCAATACTGTGCGGCTCTAATATCAACTGCTTGAGATAGACCAGATTTCACGTCCTACGAGACTCTATCCCGACTCGAAGCCATACCATACAACCCTACTACCAACCACTGCAGGCCAGCCCTACCTGATCGTTGCCTCATTCGTCCTTGTCGAAGTAGTCGACATGGCTTCCCGATTCGAATTTGTCGCTCTCTAGCGCATTGATCAGTCGCTCTACAGTTGTGGCGCACGTGAGAAACCCTCCGTCGACCCCCTCGCGGAACATCTTCTGGATGTCGGGGTCAGCCGTCGTGTCGGCCACTGTGCGCGCCATATCAGTCACCAGCGGACCGGGCGCGTAGTTCAGCACGCGCAGCTCCGGGTGTTCGGCCGCCAGCACGCGGAAGAACATGTCTCGAGCCGCCTTCCCGGCACAGTACAGACTCATCGACTTGAACGGCTGCAGCGCGCACAGAGATGAGATGTTGATGACGGTGACGTGCGCCGCGCGCTGACCCACCTGTCGCAGGAACACGCCGTTGAGCGCCACCACCGCCGCCACGTTCAGTCGGAAGTACGAGTCGGCACTGGCCACGCTGTCGTGTTGCAGCGCCGTGCGAGACACGTCTCCCACGCTGCCCGAGTTGTGAATGATCATGGCCGCCTCCAGCGACGGGTTACTCTCCAGGCCGGCGCCGACAATGCGCTCCAGGTCATGGTCGTCGGCCACGGCCAGGTCGCAGGCCAGCGGCACGACCCGCACGTCGGGCGGCGCCGTGAGCGCGATCATCTCTGCGGTTCGCATCAGATCGGCCTCGTTACGGGCGGTGAGCACCACCACGGAGCCGGAGGCGAGCCGGGCGGTCAGTTTGACGGCCAGCTCGCGGCCGAGGCCGCGGCTGGCGCCGGTCACCAGCAGCAGGGTGCGCCGCTGCAGGGTGGGTGCCATCGCGCCGCTACTGATCGGCGGCCTGACGCTGCAGCTGGTCCTCTTTCAGTAGCTGCAGCAGTTCGTCGCTGCTGAGTGGCACGGTGTGCGGCAGCAGGCGACGCTGCAGGTAGCCGGCGCTCACCGGCTCGGACGGCACGGGCTCCTCGGCGCTTCTCTCCGCCGGATCGGAGCTCAGCAGCCGCGCCAGCTGATCCTCGCGACCGCTCCGGAGCGCAGATACCAGCTGCCGTGACGACGGGGCCTGCTGCAGACGACCGAGCCTCCCGTCTGCCGGAAAAAAGTCAATAATTAGTGGTTTGTGTGGACACTGATGCTAATATTGATTAAGAGGTGATATAATGAGTAGGAACGTCAAAGGGATAGGAACAGTGTGGTCAATGACTTAGCTGACAGTGGAAACAATCAGGGTAGGTAATCTGAAACAGCTTGGACAAAGGAGCAGATTATAAAACAGAGAAATTGAGCCAAAATAATATGATACATCCTCCTGTATACTCACATAGCTTATTAAGATATGCATCTGTATCTGCAAGCTTCTTGTGAGGATCTGCTGCTTCCTCTCCAGCATTATCCAGTACTTTAAACTCCACAAAACTGTCATCAAATTTGTTTTCAGACACTGATTTTGTTCCTTCCTCTGATTCAGGGCATTCTATCTGTGGTTGCCATGGGTCCATCTTGCAGTAACTTCCTGCATTTGAAAAAGTTAACAATAGAGGCATATTTGGTCTGGATTTACAGTCAAAAGAGTGCACATTTTCTATAAAAACCTGTCTTGAGTTGAAAATGACCCTTTACTTTAAAACCAGTTGAAGCCAAAGAATAAAAAAAAAAATGTGATAGCATTAGCAGTGATAAATGAACTAAAATTATTAAAGCAACATTTAGATGTAGCCTGTACGTAATCTATAAACATGGAAGAAAGGGCAAAAATACAATTAAGTAGGGAAGGAATGCGAAATTTCCACACACTGAGTCACAACGGATACTGCACCAAAATTTCAGCACAATCCGCCTATCACGGTGACGGCAGACATGTCAGCAGCAACATTTTGTTTTCCAGCTGGCAATGATAGGCAATTTTTATATCCCAAATACAGATTTCTTGACTATGGCAATAATTCTAGAATTTAAGCAGTGCAGTCTGGTGGGTTTTCAGCCCACCCCAACCCATTGCGATTTGTCACTAACATTCTGGCAAAAAGTCTCTGTCTGGTACCTAACGGGACAGGTGGGAAATATGCCCCACCTTACTGAGACCACCTTTTTGGAATATCAGTTGGGCAAACTAGGCTTCTGGAATATAAAAATGGAGGCATCAAAAAATTGATTCTTCATGACCATCTTGATCTTTGGGCATAAATGTAGACCATTTCCAAACCACCAATCATCTAAAAATAAGCCAGTGTTTCAAGAAGGAATATGCCTAATGTTGAACAGAAATGTTCAAAATAAAATAGCTCTAAATGATAAAAACACACCTATCCCTTCTTCTTCTCACACTTTACAAAATTTCTGCGCTGTTTCTGCCTCAAATGTCCTTTTCAAGGTCCTTGAAATCAATATCGGCTCTTTTGATGCAAGTATATCAAAATAATCTGATGCCAGCATTTATTGTGATATCTGAAAAGCTTACCAAGTTCAGTTGTCTAGTAGCATGTTTTAGGAATAAAGTAACTTTTTGAATATTATAAGTTGTTATAATAGAGTGCATTGACAAGTAGAGCGTGAATGTTTCATGTTCTTTGATCAAAGGACTGCGGCGGAAATAGTTTAAAGAATTAAAATGTGATATGGTTCATAAAATGTAATCATTGAAAAAACACAAATAGAAATTGAAAGTATCACTCTAATTTTTCATAGTTAGCAACCATCATACTAGTCTTTGTTCAGAAACTGCGTGTCATCATTTCATGGCGGCGTTGTAGTGCTGAAAAGCGTTAGTTGTAAAATGGCGCGATTGATTACAGTTGCGGCGCGCACCGATATCGCACTGAAGAGGATTCGAAAAAGTAAAATTGAAATAGGGGGACTAGTGCGAAGAGTTAGTGGGTGTATGGCTGTCTTTTTGAGGTTTTCATAATTCTTCCGCATTTAAAGGGACCCTCCCACCTTAACATTAGTTTTGAGTTGAGATAGCCAAGTTTGCGGCCAGGCTCAGAAACCACCATTTATCCTGGTCGCAACCCCCGCAGCTTTATGGTGTTCAAGAAATTTCTTCCCTTTACTTGCAGGGTGGGACCAGCGTGGTCCCTATCTCTTAACCATTACGGGAATCTGATGACGTCATCAGGCTTTCGAACGTCCGTTAAATGTTTGACTAAAACGTTTTGTAGCACGCGGTGGTATATGCTGCTTTGCGCGCAACAAATGCCGCTTTTTCAAATAAAGTCGCTAGGAACAGCGGAGATCCCAAAAAGTAAACAAAAGTAAAAGTCTAATATCTTGAAAACCGGTGAATATTTTTCGATGAAATTTGGTAGATATTCGTTTTTGCTCTTTCTGAACCGAGCGACATCACTTTCATGCCAATTCATTAACTTTTTTGAAGGTGGGAGGGTCCCTTTAAATTATCTGAATGGTTGATGCACAAAAGGTAGGTAATTGGGTAATGGGTACGTTAAGAGTATTTCTGAAGTTAAAGGCCTGAATAGACGTCAAGGGTGAGCTTTCATATTTTTATTTTTACCATTCCTGTGATGTCAATGTGCATCTCAATCCATTATTTTATAACCCCTCACCTGGTATACTCACCTGGTTGGGTTCCGAGTGTCATTTAGGAAGTCAGGAAGGAAGTGGGCAAGGCAAGGCTATATAAACCTTGCCCACTTCCTGGAAATGGGTCTGAGGAACAGCCAGGAAAACCCTGCTCGAACCCTGCTGATTATAGAGCCTGGCTCATTTTGCGCTACTGTATATCAATATACATCATGCCATATCAATATCTTGGACTTGACAACAAGATACAGATGAAATTGAGAATGAAAGTAGTGTATATATTAGTAATGTTACGCTGGTTTTAGTGGCATCATGTTTCTGTTGAGACGCGGCAAATGAACTATAAGTTGACCTGGAAGGGTCGACTTAAAATGACTTAGGGTCAAGGTCATAGAAAAGGTCATGTTGTAGGTACCTATATAATTCATTTTGTATCATTTATCTGAACACAATCATAGTGTTTTCAGTGCTCTAGCTAGCATGTGTCTATCTAAAGGTATTGTAAAAAAAAACTGTTAGAGAGTGTTCATGACCTGAGATGACCTCAAGGGCATAAAAGGGGTCACAGCACAGGTGCAAATTTCCAATTCACTGTGTCATGTTCACCTGTGTCTTGATGTTTGAGGGTGCTTGCTTATTGTTATGTCAAAAAGAAGAACATTTCAAATTTTCTCTCATTGACATAGGTATAATGGAGACTGGAGAGGTCACAAAATTGACCTGACCTTAGATTACCAATACCAAAATTCTGAGGTGTACAAATTGTTGGTACTGATTCCCTCATACAATCATCAAATGCCTGAGTTTCAAACTTCTGGGATGTAAGCTGCAAAAATGACTGAATCATTAAGTTTTCTTTCAGGCACGGTAACTTAACTTGACCTGTTGACCTGGCCAATGTGGCCATATGTGACCTGGGCTCAAAAGTTTGATGCATGATATGATGCAAAAATTCACGAATCATATAACCTATACCAAGTTTTGCAATGCTGCGCACTGTGGTTTTCTTTACAAGCATAAAAATTGGCAGGTGTGGCCAAAAAATGTCCCACCCCCACCCGGGCAAATGGAACATTTATTGTGCATTTTTGGTTGACATGCATGTCTCATGGATACTGTCTGTTATTTGTCTGTAATTTGACGAAGCGTTTCTTACAGCAGACGTGAAGCGAGATGAGTGACGTCATGGACTCTACGCCGGCCGAGGACGACAGCAACGTCCGGAAGTCGTCTCGTCTCCAAGCCAAGCCGAGACAGAACGGTCAGTGACTCCCGCGTTACCGGCTAAAATGCGAAAATGGCGTCGATGCATAGGCGTTTGGTTGAAAAGGGGCAAACAAAATGCATATAACGTATATTCACGGACAAAAGCATCCAGTGGCCGGGCGGGGACACAAGCGCCGCCGTGCGGCCATGGGTGGAACTATGCATGTATCGGTGGATTTTCCGGGCGCCCTTTAACCCTCGCCCATGTAGGGGGGGGGGGTGCACCCCTCCCCCCCCTGAGGTTTTTCTTAGCTACACGCCGAACTGTTTCAGATAGCCTGCTCAAATTTTCAGTACCCTATGGGGCATCCTTTGCGCAACTTTTGGTATTTTTTTGTCAAGGTCATGTCAGGTCACGGAGTTATGACGTCATAAAGGGAACAACCTCCGGCCAGATTTACGCTAAATTGGAGATTGCTTCACATTGGTATAAAATATAAATGCCAACTGACCTGACACACTGATGGATTGTTTTAGAATCATAACTGGCTGATTTGACATTGGCACAATGTCCGTTGACCTTTTCAAGGTTACTAAAGGTCAGGGTCAGGTGAGTGACCTCGGTTGACCTGTAATGACTTCTTGCACTTGTATGCCCTTTCGGGGTATTTTGATGCCCTCAATTCGAATTTGCTATCCATTTCAGGCATCGTCGGTTGTTTCTTGTAGTTTATTTTGGGTCAGGGTCAGGTCAGTGACGTCACACGCCTGACGTGACCCAATGCACAAATGACCTTGCAGACTTCCGATGCCCCCAACGCATCATTTTTAGAGTTATGACATCGAAATACATACCAAACGATAGAGAATTGGTCAAGGATCACGATAGTGAAGGTTTCAAGTCGATATCTCTTACCGTTTTGCCGCAATCGGCGCGGAAATCTGAAAAAATTAGATTTTCCGAAAATTTGACCTTTGACCGGTCATAAGTAGGTCAAATGTTGACCTAGGACCAAAAAATATACCACCAATCGCGAGATCTCGTTGAGAGCAATCCGTTGGTCTTTTCCGCTAAGCTCTACGACGCTCCGTTTTCAAACGCCAGGGGGGGGGGGTCGCACCAACCCCCCCCCCCCCCCCCTGCATGGGCGAAGGTGGCAAAACACCGTTTACGGGCGAGGGTTAAATCTTAACACCACCATCACTTATCATAGGAAGAACGATGCCAAAAGGAAAGGAAGTAGCGAAGCAGCCGACCAGTATTGCTGTCACACGCCATTGCATGACGTTCCCCTGTAATATCTATTATAGTTTGATCCAACTATCAAGATTACTTTTTGACTATCACCCAGGCTAGTTTTTTTTCAATAGCAAAAGCAAAGTTTGACATTTTATACGTCTCTCAACGTCACTCTTGGTTATCTCATATCATTAAGCGTGCCATTTTCAGTGGCGAAGCTGCTCTCGGAGCCGATTCCCAAGCCAAAGGTCACACCGGAGGACAGACGGCGGCTGCTCAAACTGCAGGCTAAAGCAGCAAGGTCGGGTAAGTGCGACGCTATCAAGCATCCTCTTGATGATTCTAGAAAGTAGAATGGCACGTCTGAAGTAAACATCGCTCATGACCCTACCCTCCATTTACGGGTCCCTATACATACTGTGTCCAGTCAAATTAATTGAACGAGTGTAGCTATTTTTCCCGTGAAGCATATGCTCCAGTATTTTCCCAGGAGGGCATATGCTGCCGTATAATTGTCAGTCGGCTGAATTTTCTCACATGATTTTTTTCAGAGCTCACGTTAAATCCGTTCACGACCGTTTAGGTATGCTTGCAACATGTTTATCCTTTCTCACTAGCAGCTCGGCAGATTGCTCGTCTATTTTCGGTATCCGCTGTCGACTGCCATTGACGAGTATACGTTCGCGTCTGCCCCCGTCTCAGCAGATAAGGGTGCCGGCGGCGGCCCTCCATGGACCCGTCCCACGGCTACTCTCCTGGTAGGATCAGAGGACAAACAGAGAGAGATCAAGGTAGGTTGTAGGGTGCGCCGGGTATTGCTCGCCCCATGGTCTGTTTGGAAACATCCCTGTTATCACGTCGCTTGTTGGGCCTTTCATCTTAATATCGCATCGGTTGTTGGGCCCTTTAGCTAGTAGGAAGACTGACTAGGAAAGGGATCATGGCTGAATAATGATATTTTGAATTGAATCGTTGACTCAAAATGCACTTTGCGCTATTAATTCTGTTAAATCACATTTATCATGCACATGTGCTCTAAGTAGGTGCATAGTACTGACAGCTTCTTGATTCGGCCGTGTATTGCAATCTATTATACGAAGTTACAAAGTTCATCTATACCCATATAAGTATATTATAATTTATAGTTACAGTAACTGAGTCAGCGCATTGATGATGTTGGACCCTTGCATTTCATGCGTTATATTGACACTGAACAGGACGCCGCCCATCGGTATTGTATGCTTTACCTGAATGACATGGTCGCCGCTTCTCTGCTTCAGGTGTTCCCCTGCCGGGTATGTGACTTCCTGGGGCGCACTGCTAACGTCACTAAACTGCACGAACACAAAAACCATCCTCGGGTAAGTTCATCAAATTCATCTCACTACGTAGGCCCATATCATTTTGTGTTTACTTTTATTAATAATTTACGATTATGAATTATAACCTTAAGAATTTCAACAGAATTTCAACGGCCTTCATCAAGCACACAACTTTGGCTAATAATTAAATCGTTTATTTGTGGTTACATTTGATTTGCTGCATTTGACAAGATGCGCACTGTTTCCTTTTTTTACCGTAGAGGAAGCGCTGCAAGATCTGCAACAAATATTTGCACTCTCCTACTGAGCTGGAGGAACACTGCCTCTCTGAACATCAGACGTCGGCTCAGGTGAGAAGATCCCAGATTATTCTGTTTTGTTTTATGAGACAACATGTTTATTGTTAATTGGTGTTTCGTTTTCCTTAATAGCCTGACATTTGACAGCTATATAAATTGGCCATGCTCTGATGAACCAATCGTTATTTTAAGAACTGCAGTTGATGACAGCCGGGGGTGTTGTATTATTGATCCGAAATACGCCTGGACTTTGCCCACACCCGACTTGCAGGCGATCAAGTGCGCGTCGTGTGAGTACGTGGCGCGTGACCAGGACGACCTGGCTGCTCACACCGAGTATGAACACTACACTGGCGCCAAAAGGAACGAGGTAGGTCCCCCGGCGGCCTGTCTGCCTCCCTCCGCAGCCGCCCGAGCTCACTTCTAAGAGGAATGCTAACGTGTCAGATACAATGCGAATTGGAAAGCATGCTCTTCACAATCACAAAGCAAAGTTCGACTGCAATCTGTGTAAATGTTCCTCATTTTTTATATGCGCTGTATGCGACTCTTCCTACCCCTGTGTGCAACCCCCCGTCCCCTGTGTATGATGCCTCTCTAACGCCCAATCTCTTTGTGCGTGACAACCCAGTGACGCCTCATCCCCTGACCTCGCCCCGCAGCACTGTCGCGAGATGGTGAACGGCGTCCAGTGCACGGCCCGCTTCGTGCGGATCAGTGACCTGAGGAGACATCTGGCCTCGGAACACGGCCTGGTGGCTGCGCTCGACACCGTTCAGGAGGAATTCGACACGTGGGACGGTGAGTAGATGTGCCTTCTCATGGCTGTGCCTAGAAAGCCATTGTTGGTTGCTGCCAATATAGGGTGGAGGGCTTTGTAATTCGAATTTTCGAGAAATGTTGATTCTTAAGAAAGATTATGATGAGCCTTTTGTGTACGCTGCTTTCCCAGTTGCCTCCGACATAATTAAGCCCAGGTTTCATTTGGCATTCTTTATTTGCCATCGGTTGTTGCGATTGTTACCAAACTGGTGGCACCCTTTGATAAGCCGTACGTATAGTGAGATGCTATCTCCGAGCGCTGTCTCTATTCACCCGCTCTCCTCCAGAGTTTATGCGCTGGAAGGCCCAGTTCGAGCTGGACACGCGCTCTGTCTATAAGATCGGCTACGGCCGCCGGCACGGTCACCGTCGCTACATGTGCGTCCGCTCGGGCCGCTACAAACCGGTGCCAGACGAGCTGCGCCAGCGCCGGCCGCGCCGGCACCGCACCATCAAAATGGGCTTCAACTGTACGGCCACCATGATGTGCAAGTTCCCGGAGACTGGTGGCGTGCGCGTGGTGGTGCACCCGTTCCACTACGGACACGCTATCGGCGACGTGGAGCTGCCGGGACTGAAACCCGAGAACGCGCCCGGTGAGTGACTGCGGTTATATATAGGCAATGGTAGATGGGAGAGGGCGTGGGGTTCGTAACACTGAAAAGGCTCATATTATCGTGTTTGATGTCAAAGTGTGCAGTGCACATGCTCTTCTTCTGGCCGATTAGGATAACTAGCTAAATGCATTACGAGCTGGGAGTGCTAAATGCCCTAGCGAACTAACTTAGCTAAATGCATTACGAGCTCGTAAACCGATCGCTCTTGGCGTCATCGGAACAGTGCTACTATGTATATCGATCCAAAGCAAGCTTTTAGATGAGAATGAATCTGCCCGCCTCATTAGCTCAATGCTGAGTGTCCGTCTTACAAGAAGATCGTTTGTGGGTTCTCGGTGTGAACACTTACGACGCTCTCCATTTTCTGCCGTCGGGAATTGTCTGCCGAAAAAGGCGGTGGTCGCGTTATAGACTACAGGGTAGATGAAACAGATGCATGTATCGAGCGGACTTGGTATTTCAATGTGTTTATTTCTGTTTCAGACAACTGGATTCGCCCTGACCCCCGCAGGAAGAGAAAGAACAGACCGTTAAAAATCAGCCATGTGGATGTAGTACCTGCCATGTGAGTTTTTCAGTCGTGCGCGCTGACGGCCATAGTCATTGGCATGAATTAGTTGGTCATTGGTCATTCGGACATGCATTTGCTACCTTAAAGTTTTCATATTCATCCGGCAACGCGATGACGTTGACAGAAACGAGGCACATTTGACTTAAGATTGTCAGATAAAATGAATCATTCATGTTATCTATGAAATTGCTAATCCAGCATCGCTTAGAAACACGGAGAAAGGATATCGACAAGCGTACGGGCAGGACGTGATACGAGTTGCGACTCATATGTCCAGGTCATTCCTCTTTACATTGGGACCTGCCTCTCCCCTGTACAGGCCTGAGCCCACGGACGGTGATGAACCGGCCCCGGTTCCCACCGAGACCGACGGCGGAGACGGGATGCAGAACGGCGACTCGGGGACGGGACTGCCTGTGGCTTCCGTCACTGCTGAGAAGGCTGACTCCGACGCCGTACCACCTGAGGGTTCGGCCGCCGAGGGCGATCCGTCTGTGGTTGCAGAGTCCGGCGGAGGTGATGGCCCCAGCACGGATGTCGTGCCGGGCCCTGGCGGCGACACCGGCGGCCCAGGAGAGGGCGCTGGTGACAACAACGGCGATGGTCCGAATAAGACGGACGCGAAGTCAGTGGAAGCCCCGGACCCAGCCCGTTTGGAAACGCTGCGGCGCAGGCCAGGCCATAAGTCCAAGTGTCCGCCTCTGTCGACGTCCCCGCCGCCAGAGCCGGAACCGGAACCGGAGCCGGAACCGGAACCGGAGCCGGAACCGAAGCCGAAGCCTCGCCGGGGTTTGTTCGGCCGCCCGCTGCCGCCTCCGCCGCGTCCCGGCCACGGCAAACGCTACAAGAAGCTGCTACGTCGAGCCAAGCTGATGAAGGGTCTTCGTAAGCGGCTGGACATGCAGCTGACGCGTCTGGCCGAGGCGCGTCTGCAGCAGTTTCCCAAGCTGGCGCCGGCGCCGGGGGGTGGTGTGGACGCGCCTCTAGTCGGCATGCCGCTGGAAGACGTACCTGAGGTGGATGACAACCCGCCGCCGCTGGCGGTGCTCCGCGCCGACCCGACCGACGTGGACCAGCTGCCGGACGGCGTGTTCCCAGAGCTCGAGCTACTGACAGCACCCACCGACCTCGATGATGCCACCGACACCATCTTCAGCCTCAAGATGGAGGTGCTGTCGCTGCGCGCACGGCTGATGCGCCGGGCCGCCGTCGAGACTGGTCTGCGCGCTGATGCTTTAGAGGCGGCCGCACGGCACGCGGACAGCGAGCGGGAGTTACGTGAGGAGCTGGAGCGCACTCGCGCCGGGCAGGACAGCGAGCTGCAGCGGCTGCGTGGTGCGCTCCATTCTGTGTTCACGTCGGCCCAGCTGGCCGCACTGGAGAACCCCGACGAGCCCGTTCCCTGGGGCACACAGGACTACGAGCAGGCCATGGCGCTACGCTGGCTGTGCAACCAAGAGGCGTTCAACTTTGTGCGCCGCGGACTGAAGGTGCCCCTGCCGACGATGGCCGACGTGCGTGCGGTGGTGGCCACTGGCCGGCCGCGCCCCGTGGCTGACACATTTTTCGAGCTGGTGCGCACCAAGGCGCTGGAGGGGGACATCGTCGAGGATGCCGGGGACGTGGAGGCGGAGCCCGGCTCGGAGCTGCGTCTGGTTCTGGAGGGTCCCGAGGAGCAGACGGTGGAGGTGGTCGACAGCGCTGCGGGCGAGGGCGAGGAGGCGCCCGTCGAGAGGCCGCCTAAGCCTCCTCGGGTCATCGCCGAACGGAAGCCGACCACAGTGCGCGCGGTCCGGCTCCGCCCTGTCGGCAGCGACGGGCAAGCCACAGTGTCGACGGTTTCTGTGCGTCAGTTTCACGGTAACGCCGACGACTCGGAGCCGACGGACATAATGATCCAGTTAATTGAGGAAGACTCTGGGGAGCCGGCGACCGTCGAGCGGGTGGATGGAGAGGTCGCCGGGTTTATTGGACCGCACAGTTCGGGCAGTGGAGGGGACAGCGCCATTGGGGAGTCGCCTTCAGGCGAACCGTCCACCAAACGGGCACGCTACTGATTCTGAGCGGGATCGGAAACTGGCTCATATTTGTCATCAAGATATATAAACATCTAGAATCGCTTCATCCATTGCCTGGACAGTCACATTTCATCCATGAGTTGTACATAGATGCAAGGTAGGTATGTCATCAGAATTCATTCTACAGTCGGCATTGTTTATAGGGACATGTACAAATAAGTGCCGTGACATTGTTGTTTATGAGCGCCTGCGTGTTAAGTGATTTCTTTCTTGTTTTTTTTCCCGAGCTACCGGGCTTACTGCTTTTGTGCTTTTTTATAATAAAAGTCAGCACCCGAGATATAATGTATGGCATCATCGTGCTGGACACAGCCCATTGTGTTGTGTAGGAAGCATTGTTCGGTGGGTAGCTAACGAACTCTGTGGCCGTGGTTTGGCAACAATATTACCGCTTTAAGCTCTATTCGCGTCCGGGTGTAGCAGGGAAATGCCTATCCTCAGTGAAGACACATAAACTCGGCTCATTCAGATATTTTAGGTCATGCTTGTTCCAAGTTCCAATAGGTATGCAGCTGAGTAACGTTTTTTTCCCCGTTCCTGGGCCCGGTTCGAGATGGCGCACTAGGAAGCTAGTAAGACTAGGCGGCCAATTGACACTTAACCCTCGCCCGCACATGCCATTTTCCCATCCTAGAACGCACATGGGGGGGGGGGGGGTGGTTGCCACCCCCCCGCGCCATTTCGTTCCTGTTGGAGATAGAGCTTAGCGGTAATATATATTCCCGACCGGGGCTGGGAAAATGCGTTTTATTCACCGAGGTTTTTGTGCGGAGGACCGAGTGCCGGTAGGCACGAGGTCCGTAGCAAAAAACCGAGGTGAATAAAACTGCATTTTCACAGCCCAAGGTTGGGAAGAGATTTACCACATGCCGTAATGGCGCAACAGTTAATATCATATTCATTTGATATTTTACACTTTAATCTTAATATTGTGTTAATATTATATTAATACTATGTTCATATTTTTAGTCACCGTGATTATTTGTTTGTGTTTTTCATTGTTAGGCTGCGTTGAGTATGAAAGATGAAATTCCTACTTCCCCCTTATTTAGGGTTTGAAAAAGCTGAGGATGAAGATGGTGAAACGCCAGAAGTTAGAATAAAGATATGGAGTCCAGCAGGAGTGAGGAAACCGTGAGGAAAACTAAAAATTCGGTGAAACGCTGAATCAAACGCGTCTTGGATCCCAGCTGGAACAATATCAAATGTTTCATTGTGGCACGCTAAGATGCTTCACGCATTTAAATTGTTCGTTTTTTGCGTGCATTATGTAGAAATAATGATTATTCCGACCATGTTCTGCAGCAATAAATACATTGGCATTGGAACGATAACCTTGTTTAGTTGAATTACGTTGACAGCAAAAGTATGTAAACACGCAGTCACTTACTTTTGCTGTTGCTGTTAGTGAACACACAATCCGTAAATATCTTCTTTGAAATTGGTTCTTCCGCTCAGAATATTCAGTAAAACTTTGTCTGGGAAAATCAAAAAGCCCTAGGGCCGAATCGTTTCCCAAATACCTTCAACATTAGCCGAGGCGGGCCGAAGCCATTTCCCAAATGCACGTGCTAATGTTAAAGGGATATCTCGGCATGTGGTAAAGACCAAAAAGATTCTTTGGGAAGAGACAAATCCAATGATACCCAGTTTTACCTTCTCAGGTCAGTCATTGACCTTCCAGGTCAGGTCAAACTAAAAAATGTTGCTGTTTTGGGTCACCGCTGGATATCAAGTGCGCTGCTTATCATATACCGATGACGATGCCGTTTTCTGGTGCCAAGCCAGCTAGAACCTCTTTGTCAGACTACCCGACCAGGTTTTTGCTGCTGAGGTCATTTCAGGTCAAGTTAGGTCAAGGTCAATTATATGTGTTTGTATGTCTGTGTGTGTCTGTGTGTATACTGATGTGTGCACCGATTGTTTATGTGTCCATATTACATGAAATCATGATCTGAGAAGCTTTTACCAAAAATGCAGTCAAAAAAATTCACAAAAAGTAAATTCCGCTTGCCTAAAACGCAATTATCTTAGATGACCTAGGTTGACCTTGACCTTGACCTTGACATCTGTACATCGTCGAACAACATGTTCCATGATAGGTGGGAGGTAAGACTGGCAAAAAAGGCCGAAATCAAGGTGTCAGAAGCTCACAAGGCCCATAACCAACGCAAGATGTTGAAAATTGGCCATTTGGGTCATGACATGACCTGAAAAACAAGGTCATATCTCCGAAACCAAAAACCACAGAAACTTGAAATTTTCAGTGGACATCAAGAAAGGATAGAGGAGCAGCTATACGAAAAATCAGCCTTCTAGCTCTAAAAATGTTGAGTGCAGAGCAGAAAGACTACCTGGGGGGGGGGGGGGGGGTGGCAACCACCCCCCCCCCCATGTGCGGGCGAGGGTTAACCCGCGCCCTGCTGGGGGGGTGTTTGAACACCCCCCCTTGTGGTTTTTCGCGAATATCTCAAAAACGGCGGCGCGGAGCGCCGCCGTTTTTGGTACACCTTATCATACATCAATTCTACACATGTTGTGAAAATTTCAGACCAAGGTCATTCAAGGTCAGGTCACCAGGTCACTTGAAGTGACCTCACCTCATACAACTTTCAATGTCTGTCATGCTACACCAAGTGACCGATCGCTTTGAAACTTTCAGCGATTGCTAAGAGCAATAGCATGCACAAAATGTATATCTCAGAATTTTGATATCGATGACCTAAGGTCAGGTCAATTTTGCGACCTCCCCATTATAAGTCAATGGGAGAAAATTGAAATGCGCCTCTTTTGGATGAAAGACATTATAAACACTCCCAAACACCGAATTACAAGTAGTTTAGACACACTGAACATGAAAATGTTGTCCGTGACCCTTGTTTATGCCCTGAGGTCATCTTAGGTCACGAATTGCATCTAACAGTTTTTCGCAAATAACTTTTGGTAGAGGCATGCTAGAGCGATGAAAACGCCTTAGATGTGTTCAGCTCGACGATACGGATCGACTGATATGCAATATGACCCTTTCCGGTCAGGTCATGACCTTGACCTGAGGTCAAATTTTCAAGTTGACCTTTCAAGGTCAAGTTATAGTTCATTCGATGCGTCTTGACGAGAGGAACACGATGCCGGTTAAAGTAAGCTCGTACAAGGCTTGGGTCAAAAGTTATTGCAGAAAAACTGTTTTCGAAAAAATCGGCTATTTTTGCAGTTTTTGCCCCCTGCAGGCAAAACCGTTGACGTTAGGTCAAATCTGAGAGAATTACTCAGAAAGGGCGTTAATAGGGCTATCGAATGCGCTTTTCCGCCGCGCTGTAGCTCTATTGGTTCCCGAGTTATGCGTTGGCTTCTTGGAAATTTTCGACATTCGACCTGGAAATCGGCGAAATTTTGCCTTCAATGACCTCTGGTGACCTGACCTTTGACCTGACCAAAAAATTGACCGAAGTGATTTCGTCATTATTTTTGACGCTCTTTCGAACGCCGCCTTCCGCGTATCGCTACGTGGCCCAGGAGCCGAGTTACAAGGGGGGGGGGGTGTTCAAACACCCCCCCCCCCCCCCAGCAGGGCGTGGAAATCCAGGACCCCCAGCGGGGCGCGGGGGTAGTGACACTAAGCGGTATTTTACACCAAAAGGCTAGTGGCTCAGCGCGAACCGAAATCGCCTAGTGACACTAGAAATAAGTGTCTCTAGGGCCTTAGTGCGCCAACGCGAACCGTCAATAGCCCAAAGGGGCGCGAGTTAACTCGCGCCCTGCTGAGGGGAGCTTGAACCCCTTGCGAGTTTTAGAACACCTCACCATACATTTTTCTGAGCATGTAAAAGTTTCAGGTGACAGGCCCAAGTCTTTCAAGGTCAGGTCACCAAGTATCGTCGAGTGACTTTGCCTCAGACAACGTTGTAATGCTTGCTTGCCGTAGCCACGCCGACTGACGGATCGTTTTTAAACTGTCAGAGGTTGATGAGGGTACTCAGGGTGTCCCAGAAGTCTTGAAGCTTTTTTATTTTTGTCGTGTGACCTTGCTATGCCACTGATTAAGGTAAATGACGCCTCAAACGAAAGAGAATGAACTGAAATTTTGTATTTTCATGCAAAGAGCACCACTTTAGTCAGGTGGCCCCCATTGTGAGTCGCACAAGATTGAGCACGCGAGATCACGTTCTTCGCTGCCGCCAAGATCTCCCGGTTTGCGAAACACCGGTGTCGCCATGCCCGTTTCTGGTCAGCTTCAGAGCCTTCTTTCATGAAGCGAGCCAGGACACAGAGTATTGGATGTCCGAAAAAACATTAGCAACATAATGATTTACTGATCAGAAAGTCTCCTGACATGTTTGCACGCATCCATTACGAAAATAAGGCTCAGCTGCTTGAGCGCGCTAAGCAACAGCCCGTTGTAATCCTTTGATTCGTCGCATTATTATGGTGCTAAAACAAATATCAACCCGTCGCAAATATATGTCGCTAATATTATGTCGCTCGCTTCAGGGAATAAGGCTCTGAAGCTGACAAGCATGGGTGTAGTTTTCCAAAAATTATTGGGGGTGCTCAATATAGCTTTCAGAAAGGCATGCCATAGTTTTTGTAGTTTTTTTAGCTGTTCTTTTTTACTGTAGCCATCAGGCATCATGCAAGAAATGATGTTTAATCGGTTCGAGAGCTTGTTTTAATAGCGCCACTGTAAAACAATTTTGGCTCACCCAATGCATTAACCCGCGCGGGGCTGGGGTCTCCAGCCGAACGCGCGGGGCTGGGGTGGGGGGGGGATAAATTTTACCCCCCTGTTATCTCCCGAACCAATGGTCCGATTTGGAAAATTCAAACGCCAATCGAAAGATCTCATCACGAATAACTAAAAACATGTACTTAATTTAAAGTTTGAGGTCAATGTCAAGGTCAGGTCAAGGGTACAAATTGCAAGTTTCTACAGTATCGGCCTTGCACCGTATAGTTGCCGAAGAATGGAGTCATGGACTGAGACTGATTGCCCAAAACGTGTTTGGGCCTGACCTTGGCCATAAGTTTGGCAGGCCAGATTTTGTACTGGACCATTTTGAGTCAACTTTGAGAAATACATAACGTACAACGGTGGTAAAATCGTTGCTATAGGTATAACACAGTTTACCCGCTCCGGGTGTGAGGGAGGGATGTGGGGCAATGAGTGCACTGACGTGGCGCCCTCGGAGGGCCGGTATGGGATTTAAGCTCAGCTACACTAAGGGCTTGTGTGGTGCCTTCAGTTCGACACCTTTTTTTAAACCCCACATCTGCTCTCCCGTGAATTTCCGGGAGGCACGAAAGATCTCCTTTTAAAAGTGTCCAATCGTCCGATCCTGATCAAATATGTGTGTTCGTAGGCCTGTTCTGGTATTGCTTTATCTGCCAAGACAGACAAACTTGA